TGCAAGGATTAGGATGAGAGCAAAGGTATTTTTATGGGAAGAGTGGACAATTTCCAAAATGGTTATTCTGAAAGAGAACTTTTATTTCAGGGATTCTGCTCCCTTTTTTACCCTTATTCTTCTGCTTCTTATCTTATGCCAGTCATTTGCATGGCTGTGCTGTAATTTCAAGGGCAGAAACCTTTTGTGGGCCTTTCGGCCTTTCCTGAAGCCTTTCAGAAACAAGTGAAACAGGTTTGGGAGTACATTAAAAAAATAGGAGGAAAAAAAATTTAAACTGAATATCTCTTGTGAAAATTACAATTGTTAATCTGCTGAGTTGAGCATCTCTGTTTTAATCAGTAAACCATAGAGCATGGACTCTCCATTGAGTTAATGAAAAAGTTTCTCCAAGGTTTAACAAAGCATTAGCAAACAAAAGACAACAAACTAACTATGATTCTTAAGAAGATGTCTATTCCTTTTGGAGTTGGTATTAGAAAGTAATGTTATGGTTAGGCTTGAAAAAACATTAGGCATTTTTTAGTTTTCAATTTATTTTTTTTTAAAAACAGTTTTAGGATGATGGTATGCAGTATTAAATGTTCTGGTGCCATGATGTGGTAAAATAAATCATCAGAGCCTCATGTTAAAATCCCAGAGATTTCAATATAATTTTGCTTAATACGAGTGAGGTATTTTATTGTCATGTTTTATCATTAAGATTAGTGCACAAACTAACCCTAGACAGAATATCAATAGCATCATTATATGGAATATTCCATTTCCTGAAGGGTGAAGGTCACATACTTTTCAAAAAATTTTCCTCTTTGTCAGTGTTAGGATGGTTCTGCTCAGATTGCTACCAAAATGTCAAAGTCAAATCAGTAGGGAGAAGCCAGCTCTGTGCCCAGTTAACTACCTTTGCAGTCAATAAAAGACCTCAAAACTGCATGCTTTGATCAATGAAAATAAACTAGTATTGAACCATGATAATTCAGACATATTTTAATACCAATGGAAGGCTACTGGTAGAAGACCTCAGTATCAAGCATAAAAAAGAACTGGACATACTGAAACAAGATCACCAGAAGGAAATTGAAACCATATTATCTGATATCAGCAGCACTCAGGCACATCTTCTAGCAAAGATTTTCTCCTTAGAAACTGCGTAAGTAATTTAAATGAACTGTGGCTCATAGTGGCAGTGAGTTCTGTTTGAATTTATGGTTCTTAGTACGTATAATTTTTGTATTAATCATACATGGAATATTGTAAGGATTGAAATACAAGTGTATTTCCTTTGCAAATCAAAAAGACCCAAAGACATTATAATAAATTCTGAATATTGGTTAATCTAAAGCACTATACATAAAGTTTTACAATGCTAAATTAAAACTTGCATGTAGTGTCTAGCAATTTTATGAAGTGTAAAATAATCTGTGTCACAGATAATACCAGAGGCCTTGATCCATGATCTTGTACTTAATTTTGTTCAGCAGAACAGCATCTTTGAGGTTAAGAAGCTCTTGATCATTCTCACTCCGTTGAAAATTTCCTAGGACAGCCCCCACTAATTCATGTAAATAAATGCACTTTGCAGCCCCCTGTGGAGTTAAGTTGTGGTGCTTCAGATTGTACAGGAGAGGCCATTTAGAATTATGCCCTTTGATTATATATCCTTTTCCCTTATCCCAATTGTGCAGCAGAGGACCAGAAGAGAGAACTTGCATGTAAGCAGGCCTCAAACCTGTCAGATGTTAAGATTTATCTTTTTATTTAAACTCTAAGATGATAAGGTTGGGGGATGGTCCTCTAAAAAATATTTACCCACAAACGAAAAAAAAACCAACAAGAAAAAGGTGGTTTGTATTCTGTAATACATTTCTCAGTATGTGTCCTGGTTATGGCAGGTGAACTTCATAGCACTCAGTTTCTCAAACAGCAAAATTCATGCACTTGGCTGATTGAAAGAATGATTTGTGTTCTCATGAGTCAATCAAATGTATGTTTCCACACCATATCTAAGAATGTGTAATTCGCATTTGAATCTTTTCCCCTGATTAAGGAATTTAAAAAGCTGAACTCAGACTACAGGTTTGACTTAGTTCATTAAAGCAGCATGTATATCCAAGCTTCTCTTCATGAAAGTTATAGGAATTGAGTATTTCTGAGGATTCTAAAGTTATTGGGTCAGAAAAAAAAACAAACAGATGAATACAGGTATGTATAGATACTGTGACGCAGATTTTTTCTTTAGGAAACTAGACTAGCCATGTGATGTGCAAGCTTCTTAGTATTTTACACCAGGGGCTGGATTTTATGTGGGCAGGTGTTGTGGATTAACCCTGGTGGCAATTTATTTTGGAACTCCACAAGATTCTATCCTTCTATGTAAACCACATATAAATGTCCATTTTTTTAAAAAAGGTTGTTTTATCAGAAAGGCCTGAGTATGCCCCTGTATTTTAGGTTTGGAATTTAGGGCAGAGTACAGCCCAGGTATCTCTTGAACCTGATCTGAGGAAGTTTTTTTCCAGTCTGCATTTTCTTTGGTACAGACTTAAAGAGTTAGAAGAAAAGTCAAGAAAGTGGGAGTCCAGGTCAGAAGATACACACCTTATAAACTGTCTGCAAGACAAATTAAGTGAGAGAGAAGAAATCATCAAGCAGCTGGTGGTAAGACTGCCTTTTATATGCAGTTATGTATTTTGGGATCTATTGAAAGGCTCTATTCAGTGTTTCGCACATTGCTTCAGACTGGTTGCTTCTTTCTGTTCTGGAATACTTTGACAAATGTGTGTTTCCCTACCAGCTTCCAACAAATACACGTTTCTATACATGTAACTTTCTTTCCCCTCAGGAAGGAAGAAAATGTCAGCATTCACTTTCAGCCAACACTGAATCCTCCAGGAATCGGTCATTTTCTTTCAACCCTAATACAGCAGGCTTGACTCCTTCCATCAAGGTAAGATGGGCAATGCAATTCAAATCACAAATCATGAAGTTTTGTTACTATTTGAATCATACGGGTGATCAGGACAGTAAAAGTGCTATTAATTTTTTATGATAATGTTATTCAGTAGAATTCTTTCCAGTAAGCCAACTTAGTCAGGTGTTGAGTATAACATAAATTCAGTAGACGTATATGTGCAACATAGATAAGGGTTTTTAAGCAGATATAAAACACTAGAACTCCAAAGACATGAGTCTTCCACTGGGATAGCACAGCCATTGTTTGCAGATTTGGGAGTTGCTAATTGGGATATTGCATGCATCAAGGAAAATTATGAATCTTTTTGGGTTGCTCATATTTGCTCTTTGCCATTCCAGCCCCTCTGCATGATACTGTCTATAAATAGCCATTAAAAGAGGGGAGGTCAAGTTGGTGGAAAGCACCCTGATGTGTCTAAAACCCCAAGATCAAATCCACAAGTTGTTTTAATTAGATGAGACCAAATCCATGGATCCTCACAGCATACCGTCAGAATTTAAATGCCTACAGAAAAAGGTGGGACCCTTCCTATCTGGGGGTTCCTCACAAGACATCTAGGAATGAGGTATTTTGAGGTTTTATAGTATAAATTGAAAAAACTGTGTATGTAATGAAGTTTTCTGTTACAATAAAAAGCAGAGGAAGAAAACACTTGAGGTGCCCAGTCGTGTTGTCAGTGTTCCGAATTTAGCTTCCTACGCAAAGAGCTTTTTGAGCTGTGACTTGAGATCAAAAAGAAGTGCTCCTCAAATAACAAAATCTACAAGCTTAGACCGGAGTCCTGGCTGCCTCAGAGTGGGCTCTCCATCAGCACAGTCCTCAGACAGCAGTGCTGCCACAAGGTATTTATCCATTTTGTAAGACAATAAATGAATTCATGTTCAGAATCTTGTAGGCAAATCCAAAACATTATACATTTGGAAATACACAACGATGTGAGGTTCCTGTAGTGCAGTGAACTCCATGTCTTCAGTTCTCTGCAGACAGACCCAGAACTTTACTGCAGATGTAGGCTATAATCCCTGCCCAGCAGAGCTTACACTTGCAACCCCTTCTGGTGCTAAAAAATAAGAAGAGTTGCAAGTACTTAACTAAGAATGCAGTTAATAGTGTATATGCCTGTTTAAAACCTTGAGCATCTACCAGTGGTTCTGATAAGGATATGTCTTCTCTTTTATTTTTGTTTCTTCACCTTGCACTTGATAGATGACATATTTTTATTTTAGGAGGTATTTCAATGAATCTAGGTTAATAATTTCAGAAAGGGTTTAGAGACTTAAAAATTGATTAGCAGACACTTAAGTAAAAACTTCTTTTTTTCATGTTTTCTCTCTGAAGAGCTTGCATTCTTCAAATTTATGAGTTATTTGAACAATGTTTGGTATTTTATAAACATAGCTGAACTCTCTCTTCAAGAAATAATTAAAAATATATGTAGCTAACATAGTTATAATGATAAATATAAAAACAAACAAAAAAAACCCACAAAAAACCAACAAACCCTACCACTATATTTCAGGACCAAATCCAGCCTTCTCACCCATCTCCTGGTGGAGATTATTTATCCTGTAAATTATGTGCTAGAGTTCTTTACTTGAGGGCAGATGGTGCTGACTGCCAACAAAAACAATAACCTGGGACTCAGGGTTGGATCCAGTTTGGTAATTCCCACATCTAAAAGATTAAACCGTGCTGTGTCATGCCAGATGACTGCCAAGACAAATCAGATTTCTGTTTTAAAGGGAAACAAATGCACAAGGAGACTGAGGGTAGCTTGGCTTCTACTTACGTAACTCTTTTAGGTCAGTCAATCATAAGTCAAGTCTTATTTGCTATCATTTGTTAAAAAAAATCCTGAATGATGGAAAAGGGACAATGTAATAGGGTTGATTATAAATGGTAGTTAATGTTCAAATTAATCTTTCAGTGTCAAATAAAACTTTTACCCAACATTTTTAATGCATAACTCATATTTCATATTTTGAAGAGTGAATTGCAGCTGCCATTCTCTGATTTTCAAGACTTCTTATCCTTGAAGCATCCGTTTATTTTTCAAAACGTCAAGTTAAGAATTATGTTCAAACATTTCTCCATAGCTGTTTAGCTCTGCGTGTTATGACCAGGTAACTATTCGAGTTACCTGGCTAGCACAGATCCCACTAGTGTTTTGTAGCTGGCACCTTTTGGCCTTAGTCATTCATGTGAGCACAGCACCATATATAGGATCAGGATTTTTTCTGGGAAAAGAAGTATTACATATTAATGAGATTGTAAGTAAGTAGGCAAGTCATGCTAACGCTTATTTGTTTGCACAGGGCAGATGGCAGTGAACCACCACAAACCAAAGATGACCAAAAACAAGACCCTCAGCATCAAGAATGGTTTATTAAGTATTTTTCATTTTAAAGCAAACTATTTCCATATTTCTCAGAATTACTAGAAAAGCCATTCCTGTTTTCTTTCAGGGAATGATAATCCAATATATGATTTAAGGAAAGAAAATTAAAAAAGTAATTTTTAAGTAAATGATTAGGAACACCTGCACTCTCTTACATCTATTAACTATGGAGTTACAGGCATGGATTTCAAAAAAATGCATTTTTTTAACAACCTCTATAAAAAAATGAAGAGAAAGCAAAAATACTGTTATAAGACTTTCTATAATCAAGAGACTCTACCACTCCACCATTTCATTAAATATGCAATTTGGACTCTGATACATCCTATCAATCTGGCACCAGCTGAAGAAAGGTCTTACTTCTGTACATTTATACATTTGATTCATCAGCTGTTTAAAGTAAGTTGTGCATATGATGATGTAATTTTTTTAAGTTTTTAATGGTTTTTGTTAAACTAATTTTAAGCTGTACAGCATGCGGTATACCTTCAAGAATAGCATGTTTATAGGAGGCTGGTTTAGAAATAGTTTCGGGTTTGCTTAAGAAACTGTTTTGTATAGTCATCATTGCAATATTCCTATTGCATTTCAATACATGTATCAGCCTGATAAAGTAGGATGATGTGTAAGTATGAACATTAAAGCTTGTAAATGATCCATTTCTGTGTTTTACAAAAGACTGCTATATTATGCTGAAGTGAGTCAGATTGATACACTGAGTCCAGAGTGATGGGAACTGCGCATATGTACCTTTTATGCCCACCTAAATGTAAAGTGGAGGAATGACTACATTTATCATTGTTGGGAGGAAAGACACCTATAAAGAAATTAACCCTCGGGTAATTAACTCATCAGTAACTGTGAAAGGCAAGGAGGGAATTGTGCAACCAGCAGCCTGGTGTTTAAGATGGGATAGCTCCTCTTCAACTGCTATACAGTTTGAATCCCCATTTAATTTTGACCAGCAGGGCCCAGCTAGGCTAGAAATTTTCCATGAGCGAGGTACCTCCAGCCCAACTTCATCTTCTCTCCAACAGCCAGCAAGAGCTGTTCCAACAGATGCAAACAATACAAAACAGCTGCTGCACCTCACTGGTGGTGAAAAGGTAGCAAAAAGGGCAGAATGCTTCTACAGGCTAATACTTTTCATCCCTGCTATCTAGTATTTTTTCCAAAAGGAACTGCTTGATTTGGAAAGTGCCTCTTTGACAAAAAGACACTTTTTATATATGTCATCACCATCATCATGGCTAGGCTTCGCGAACGAAGATTTGGGAAAGGCTCTACCCACGTTTCTTGCAAGCGCATTGGTGGCTAAAAAGGCCAATATGAGAAAGGCATGTCCGGTTGCAAAAGACACAGCAGAAAGACTCCTTAGATGGTATATTCTGCAAGGCTCGATTCTTTCTGCGTTGTCTTTTCTCCTCAAGGGTGATCCTGCGTGCTTTCTCAAAAGCATCAGCAGCGTTATTAAGAAGATAAAACAGTGTACAGTAAGAAACACTGAGGAGTGCCTTGGTATCTATGAGCAGATCGTCCTATAATCAAATTTGTATATCCCAAGACCCCTTCTGTGAACAAAAGTCTGGTGAAGAATGACAATTCATTTCAAAAAAGTACAGTCAAATCTAAGGGTGTTTCTACAGCGGTCCTCATGGATAATTACTGGATCACAAAACATTCAAATCTTCCAGTAAAATCAAACACTAATCTTTGCAAGTATTTTCATCATACGAGCAAAGACAGAGGGAAAACTAGGGCCACCCTCTCTAGAAGGAACAGGATGCATTCTAGGAGACACACTTCTACCAGAAAGCATCCTCAACAGCAACTCTGAATATTTTCCATTGAAATATAAAACCAGTCCATACTTTTGGGGAAAAAAAAAAGAAGATAATTTATTTGGCTTGTCTTAACTATTTATATTTGTAGTACAAATTACATTATACAAAAAGCATACAAAGCAAGAACACCACTGCTTTGCACCATTGAAAATACTGAGCTATGTAAAACTGAAGATTATGTTTGCTTCATTGGAGCAGGAATATTTGCAGATGCTTGTTCCAGGTAAGCTAAGGGACCTTGGGGCATTTCTGCAGGCTTTTTGTGCTGTACACTGATGTCTTCCAGGACCTGTTGCCAGTGTCGCAGTTTACTCAAATGCTTCTGAATTAACGCTTCTTTTCTCTGCAATTCATTTCTTAATTCTGAAACATCCTATGGATGAAAAAAAGTGTATTGGTAAATAGATGGTATTCATATGAGCAACCACCTCACATAAAGAGCATTTTAGCTTGAGTTTTCAAGCTGATCTTATAGCGGAATAATGGAAAAGTGTCCAATGAAACAGAGAGAGAGTACTGCGAATGCACTAGTGCCATTCCCCTAAATCCCATATTTCAGAGATCACTACTGCCAAAAAAATCTGACTAACTGGTTTGTCTCTTCCAATGAAACTACCAGCTGTGTTCCAATACTCCGCAGAGCAGCAGGCATCCAGCTTCTCCAGGATTACAGTGAGAGTTACGTTAAAAGTCAGGTTCTACCAACTTCAGGTACAGCATCATGTTGAGAAACCCAAAATTAATGTGAACAAAGTGACTGATGTACACAGTTTATCTCGTCTAGCACAAGACAGGTGAATTAATTTAAACATACCTCTTTAATTACTTGTTCTGGTTTCTGGACTGATAGCTGCAGTCTTTTTTGTAGAAAAAAGCATTCAGTTTGTCTTGCAACGTCCAGAAACTTTTGGATACACTGATCAACACCTAAACATATATAGCAAAATAGAAAGAACAGATTCCAAAAAAATAAGATATCAGGCTGATAATAGTAGTGGTCTGCATACTATTAAAAACACTTTTCACAGTATTTACTAGAAAGAAAATCTTCAGAATATCTAAAATGACGTATTTGTAAAATATATTTATTAATGACATATTTATAAAACCAGGATGTGCATTAAGTCTCCATATAAGACGGTGCTTTGCAAACTTTCAGAACTTCTTTTAAAGCTGCAAGACAACAACACTTCCAAGTTTTATTGCATGTCTAACAACAACAAGGAATAATAAAATAATTCATGGAACTTGGTTGAATAAAGAAAACATTTCTCCATGCTCAAGCAACGAGCTCAATGTAGGGTTCTCAAATATGAGCATATTGAGGAGAATTCCTATATTACACACTACTGATTTAGTAATGAAAGCTGTTCCACTGTTCCATCACAGCATAGGAATATGACCTAATATCCAGAAAGGAGTTTTCAGAAGTATTTATGCCGTTTTCGAAACAGCACTTGAGAGTCAAGCTTCAAAAAATTTTCAGGGACAAGCACACTTCCAAGCAGTCAAGGCCACTTTCCCACCTCTGTTCACACCAGTTCAGTATTTATTCTGCCTCCACGAAGGTGCGTCAGTCAAGCCTTAAAGCACCGCTACGGAGCAGCCTGGGCCATCCCTTCCCATCTTCTATTACTGCTCCATACAGCTTCTCAGTGCATCACACGAGCTCCCCGGATTTGGAACCATGAACTTCACTGTCCGTCAGTCTAATCCCACACGACCCCCGGAGCCAGCCGGCACTCGGACCTCCCCACCAGACCCCCCTCCTTCCCTTCCCGGGTGGGTTCCTTTCCTCCCACTGCCGTGAGCAGCATTCTACCGCGGAACGGGCGACCCTCAGCTCCCCCCCGGGGCTCACCGGTGCGGATCTCCTCCTGGTCCGTGCCGTTCACGTAGTCCTGGCTCACCAGCGAGGCGAAGCAGGCCTGCGGGACAGAGAAGCACCGTGCTCAGCGCCTGCAGGGGGGCGGCACCGGGAGGGCAGCGCCCGCCCGCCCGAGGCTCCCCCCGCCTGCGGCTCCCCCCGCTCACCTCGAAGGACGCTTCCAGCTCGTCCACCAGCGTATTGTTGGGGTTGCGCGGCCCCGCGGGCGGCGGGATAAGGCCGGGCGGGCCGGGTGGCCCCGGCGGCGGCGGCGGCCCCGGGGGCTGCGAGCCGAACATGCCGCCCAGCGCGCCCGCCATGGCAGCAGCGGCGCATGCGGCGGGGGCGGGCCCGGCCCTGCCCCGCCCGCGGAGCGACCCGCCCCGGGCAGCGGGGCAGCCCCGGCTGGGGCGGGGGGAACCCGCTCGTGTTAATCACAGAGTCGTCAGAGTTGGAAGGGACCTCTGGAGATCATTTAGTCCAAGCCCTCTGCCAAGACCAGGTGACACAGGAACGCGTCCAGGCCGGTTTCGAGTGTCTCCAGAGAGGGAGATTCCACAACCTCCCTGGGCAACCTGTTCCAGTGCCCTGCCACTCTCAGCGTAAAGTTCTTCCTAATATTGAAGTGACACTTCTTCTGTTTTAGTTTATGTCCATTACTCCTCATCCTGTCGCCAGGTACGACTGGAAAGAGCCTGGCTCCATCCTCTTGGCACCCGCCTCTGAGATGTTTATATGCATTAATGAGATTCTCTCTCAGTCTTCTCTTGTCCAGACTAAACAGGCCCAGCTCCTACAGTCTCATAAGAGAGATGCTCCAGATCCCTCATCATCTTTGTGGCCTCCGCTGGACCCTCTCTGCTAGCTCCTTGTCTTTCTTGTACCAAGGAGCCCAGAACTGGACACAATACTCCAGATGTGGCCTCACTAGGGCTGAGTAGAGAGTGAAGATCACTTCCCTCGACCTGGTGGCCACACTCCTCCCAGCAGACCCCAGGATACTGCTTGCCCTCCTAGTAACAAAGAGAGCAGAGACAGCAAAGCCATCCTTCCCAGCAAGATCCTCCTCCTCCAGTCTCTGCCCTGCCCACACCTCACTGTCCCCAGCCTGGGTAAGCACCGGTTCCACATCACTTGTTACACACCACTGTTTAACGAAAAAACACCCTAAAACAAAACAATCTCCCACCCTCTAGGCCTGAATCCCCCAAATTGTCAAGAAAACATCACCCCATGATTTTAAGTGTCAAGTCTGTTTGATGTTTGAACTGATTCTGGGAATACTGTCCCTGCTGGGAACCCAACAGTCTCACACCAGAAAAGGGGGGAAGCAATAAGATGACGAAAAGTATGTGAGATGGGAGCAGGTTCCCAAAAATCCCCCCATGAAACACTAACTTGCATTCATTAATTTTTTTAAAAACAGTTACAAGACACACTCTTGCTGACATGTTTAGAACTAACTATATAATTCTGTGCTGAAGCCATGCTAAT